TCGCTCGACCCCCCCAAAGGGCTCACGACCCACAAGTTGAGAACCGCTGTTCTAAGAGATTTTTATTGTTTTAGCTTTTACAATTAGGTCTATGGTCTATTTCAAAGTAAGTTTTATATGTGGTGTGAGATAGGAGCCCAACCTCATTCATTTGTACTTGGGTATTCAGTTGTTCAGCACCATTTCCCTCATCGAATGATGTTGGCAACCTTTTCAAAATAAATTAACCTGAACATGAAGTTTTACTTTGGTACTCTCAGTTCTGTAACATTGGTCTATGTAGCTCGTCTTATGCCAGTACCACGCTGTGGGGAATGCTGTAGCTTTGTAGTACATTTTCAAAGAAAGTTTGTAGTAAGTTAAGTGGTACGCCCTCCAACGCTGCCCCTTTTTGGGAGATTGTTTTGGCCATTCTGAGTCCTTTGCATTTCCATAAGAATCTCAATGTCAATTTGTCAATTTCTGAAGAAAAAAATCAACTAGCAGTTTGAGAGAGAATGTAATGAATCTGTAGTTCATTAAGAGTTAGTACTAGCATCTTAAAAACACATTTATTAGAGCATTTTATTTTTTGTTGTTGAAGTGGAATTATTCATTTTATTTCAGCTTTCTCATTCATTGAAATGCACAAAACCACATTTCACTTGTGTGAACTGATTTGTATATTGCAGCCTTGCTAAAAACGCATTAGTTATTACAGTTTCTCAGTGGGTTCCTTAGACTCCTCTGCATTCAAAACCATGCCATTGCAAATATAGTTTTCCTTTTTCTTTCTCAATCCGGACACCTTTTATTTCTTTAACTTGCCCGATTGCCCTCGTTAGCGCCTTCGGTACAATAGTGCCTAGAAGTGATGGAAGCAGACTTCCTGGTCACTTTTCTGGGCTTAGTGGGAAAGCATCTAGCGTCTCACCATCAAGCCCGATGTTATCCGGGGGTCTTTTGGAGCTGACTGATCAGGGGGAGAGCGTCCCCTCTGATTCTCAGTTATTATGCATATTTTCTCATCTTGAAAGGGTGCTGTCAAATGTTCTTGCCACATCTGATGAGATGCCCATGTGGCTTTTGCCATTTGTTTTCTTAGTGTGCTGTGTTACATCAATTGAGTAGGGGATGTTAAGCTAATCGATATCCCTGGGATAAATCCCACTTTGTCATGGTGTATAATCCTTTTATATGTTGCTGGATTCAGTTTGCTAGTATTTCATTGAGGAGTTTTGCATCTATATTCATAAGTGATATCGGTCTGTTTTCTTTTGATATTTTTGTCCAGTTTTGGTATCCAGTCATACTGGTCTCATATAATGACTTAGGAATTGTTCCTTCTTTTTCTGTGTATTGGAAGACTTTTTTTTTAAATTGATCTTGAGTCTTCTTTTAGTACAATTTGCCAATAAAGCCCACGAGCCTGAGTTTTTCCTTACAGGAAGTTTTTTAAATTACTATGTGGCATAGCTGAAAGGTGAAGGTCACACTGAATGGTGACCAGTTCGAAACCACCAGCTGTTCCACTGAAGAAAGATGGGAGTTTGTACTCCCACAAACACTTACAGTCTTGGAAACCCACAAGGGCAATTCTACTCTGTCCCTATTGGGTTGCTGTGAGTTGGAATCTACTCAATGGCACTGAGAGTTGAGTGAGATCTCTTTACTTGGCCTATAATATTTTTTTTCTTGAGTTGGTTTTTATAGTTGTATCTCTGTAGGATTTTTTCACTTCATTTAGGTTATCTAACTTGCTGGTCTGCTCCTATCCTAGGCATTCTCTTATATTTCTTCTTATTTCTGTACAATTAAAGTTCCACCACCAGATTTAAGACTTAAAGTAACTGTTATGAAGATGTCTTAGAAAAGCCACAGAACGCACTAACCCTAAAAGTTAAAAAATGAATGAATTAGACTTCATCTTAAATTTTTCTGCTGCCCATTAAAAGGAAACCAGTAAACCCAGAGTGCAGAACAGCGCTGAGGAGCCACATAATTACCCTCTAGTTCTGCAATATTTCCTCCCCTTACTGTTATGGTTTTTATTTGTTTTACTTCATTCATGATGTTAGAATTGTGTATGTCCATTTTTATATTTAAGATCGTTCAGTACATGAAAACCGAGATAGATAACCCTTCAGAAACAGTAACAGGAGCAATGGTTCCCTGGGGCAATGGGAAGAGAGAGGGAAGGGAAGGGGCGGAATAAGGAGCTGACAGCATTGATGACTGTATACCCCACTTTATGGGATCAAACAACAGAATTGTATGTGAATGGATATATTGGCTCCTGTAAGACATGGGGGAAAAAACTATTATAGGGAGAGGGGGGAATAAGGGTTCCTGGGTGGTATGGTGGGGGAGGGAGGGGATGAAGGGGATCTGATCTCAGAGATTTCAAGAAGAGAATGTTTGAGACTCATTGTCGTAGCAATTGTACAAGACTGCTTGATGTGATTGAACTATGGATTGTTATGATATCTGTAAGAACTCCCAATCAAAAGATTAAATTATTTTTAATTAAAAAAAATAGTAAAAGAGATTTAACTATGAAAAAAAAAGATACCAGTAAGGAAAATTTAAAGCATGCCACAGATTGGAAGAAAATATTTGTCATAAGCATGTATGACAAATAATTTCTATTGTCATATTGTCATTCTTGTTATATTGTCATTCTATTGTCATTTCTATTGCCATACATGATTATGACAAATATTTCTCTTTAGCCTATATAATGAAGCTAAGAATTCAGTACTAAAAAGCAAAACTACCCACCTTAGATAAATATGCAAAAAATTTAAATAGATCCTTCACGAAAGAAGAGATATGTACAAATGGCCAATAAGCACATGAAAACATTTTCGGCATCATTAGCTACCAGGTAAGTGTGAACTAAAAGCAAAATGAAATACCATTTCATGCCACTAGTCTGGATAAAATGCAGAAAGGGCTGAAGCTAATGGTGGGGAACAACGGGAACTCTCAAATATTGCTGGAGGGCATGTAAAATGGTAATATCGCTCTGTAAAGCTAGCCATTTCTTGTAAAGTCAAACAGACACAGTGGCTCAGAAATTTCTACGTATTTATCCTAGGAGAAATGAAAGACATGTATGGGAATATTGACTGCTGCTTATTCACAATAGATAAAAGCTAGACACAATCCAAATGCCCATCCATGGGAGAATGGATCAACGGACTTCGGCTTAGTCCTTTTACTCAACAGTAAAAATTAGCAAACTATCAGCAACATCAGTAAACATCAAGACTATGCTCAATGAAACAAACTGGACACAAAAGAGTTCCTACGATAGGATTCCATTTAGATGAAGCTCAAGAACAGGCAATGGGGACAGAAATCAGAAAAGTGTTTGTCTCAGTTGTGGAGCAAGGGGGGACCTAATGGAGGGAAGCTAACCTTCTCAGGGGATGGACAAATGTTGGATTTGGTTTGAGTGCTGGTTACATAGGTGTGTGTGTCTTTACCAAACCCACTGAAGGACACATGAGTGCTATGCATTTTAAAATCAATGAAAAGAACCCAAAAACAGTGTAACAAATGTTGGATGTGAGCAATTTCCAGTTTCTTCCAAATGGCTTGGATTCATCTGAGTGCTGCTCCGTCTGCAGGATTCTCTCTGAGCATGTCCCCTGGGACACGGGGTATAGTAGGAGCAGAGGTCACCCACTCTATTTCCCCTAGCTAGGCCATTAACCCCACAAGTCAGCAGCACACCAGGTAGGGCAAAGTCCCTGTGAGTACTTTCTTTTTTATAAAGCCTGTATGTCAGAACAGGATCCCGGGCATTGGATTTGAGTTTTGAGGGAGTCCCTAGTTTAAAGAGGCTTCAGAGCATAGTGGGTCAGGCAACCTCCTACAGCTTCAAGGAGTCCCTAAGGATCCCAGGCAACCTCCTGGGTCTTCAAGGAGGAACAGCTGAGAGGACACAGATAAAAATCTGCAGGTGAATGTGAGGCTCTTTGTGAATTCGCAAGACTATTCCTACTATTTGATTCAATACCTTAACTCCTTCCCCTACCCCACACACATCTCAACCTGTTATTTGAAAACCTTACTGTAAAATTATAGAACTTCCATAAGTAAGCAGGGGAAATGGAAAATGTAACTGTTAGACTGCATTCACTTTGAGAAATAACACAGTAAACATTGGTTCGAATCTCCTCAAACTCTCTGGGGATCCTATTCACCTGGAGATTTCAAAAAGTGTATGGACCTGATCTGGCTTCCAAAATGTTCTGTGCTTTTGGTTGTATTGTTTTGTTTATTCATATTAGAGTGCATCTCAGAGGTGTTATGTCAAGGGAAGTCACCCTCTTGAAGCTGTGTTATATACTTTTCCGTTTCTTGCTATATGAAACCCAAGATTGATGAACCTGCAGGGACAGCAAGAAGAATAAGGGATTCAGGGGGAGGGAGGACAGTGGGGGAGGGGCGAATGAAAGGGAGATGATGTCAAGGAGTCCATGAAGAAAAAGAGCATTTGGAAACTAATTGTGGTAGCCATTTTACAATTCTACTTATGTGATCAAAATATGGAATGATATGATTTATGTATTAAATCCCAACTTTAAAAAGTTTATGGAAAATGGAATTAAAAGATAGGGGTATTTTTCCACAAGTGTTTAGGATTCCCCCTCATGGAAAATTTAAAGCATATGTAAACTAAAATTCAGCTGGACATACTTTGAGAAATGCAGCGGAAACACTGGTTTGATTTCTTAAAATTCTCTGGGGATTCCATTTACCTGGATATACAAGGCTGCTTCAAAAAATGTATGGAAAGATAGAATTAATAAATAATGGAAAACGTCCACAAACTTTTTAAGCCTTCCTCATATGGACAATCAGCAGTTGGTCATCACTGTTAACCTGGACTCTGATTTGAACCACCGACTCTATCCTGCTCACAGTTAGATTAGAAAGTGAAACCCGGCAATGGCTTCATCTTTCCATTCCTTGCTCACGTCCCTTCCCCAAGCCAAGAGTCATCTCACCTGCTAACGAAGGTCAGAGCCAAGGTCGTGGCCAGGTGAGGCATCAGCCGTAGGGTCTGCGTTTGGTGCTCAATGATCTTGACTTCACCCTTGGCTGGGCCCAAACTGCCTTCGGCTAGAAAGAGTGGCGAAAACACCATGTTTACCAACATCCAAGAGGCAACTGTATTTTCAGGGATAAAAGTGTCTAGCAGCCATTTGCCGTTGCAATGCTTCAAAATATAGAATATCCAAATTTCCTATTTGGTGGTTAAGGCATAAAAAGACATCAAGAATTTCTGAAGATAGCTCCAGAAAAAAGCTTTTTAGCTCTTCCAGAAAGTAAGCCTCTCTAGTATGGAATTTTCTAAAGCAGCACATCCATTTAACACACAGAGTAACTGTTACTCCTTAGCACATACATGGCATTTTAGAGTTCCAAATGCCCTGTGATCATTAATTACTCGGCTTTCCCAAGTTTGTGATATAATTAACAGGACAGGAGCGGTATCCTAGAACATATTTCAGAAGGACATTCTCAACCAGGAGGGCAGCGTGACCCTGCTGCTCCTGTCAGCTTCACACGTAGGGCATTACTTCCAGCTCACCGAAGTCCCCCTGCAGTTTCCTATGGAAAAATTGTTCTCCACCTCCTGCCTCAAACGGCTGCCTTGCTTCTTCGGTGCCCTATAAGGAGTGCTGCCTGTCAGCCTGAGCTATCGGGCCAGGGCAGCCAGGGCCTCCCTGGAGCCATCGATAGTGTTCTACGGGATCATCCTCACAAACAGCGCCCATGGACAAGTCATAGAGCACGCTGGGCAGCAGACTGAACGCACCTGGTCCTGTGGTGGCACTTGTCTCTCACATCTAGGGTTTGGCAGCTTTGTCTTTGAACATCTCTGATCTTCCTGCTGATTTCTGAACGTATAGTCTCTCTCCCTCTCTCCCTCTGTCTCTCCCTCTCTCCCTCTCTCCCTGTCTCTCTCTCTCTCTCTCTCTCTCTCTCTC